AACTGCTGTGTACTGCCAGTATACTGCGTTGCTGGTGTTGATCGAGATAGGTGCCTGCCAAGCTGTGCCAGCGACAGTACAGTCATCCACATAACCTTCTGTGGCAATTGATATCAACACCTTGCCTGACAAGGCGAGGGGGGCATGTAACATTCTGCGGGTTTCATGCTCGTTAACTTGTCCTTCTAGCTGTGATTCCTTAGCCCAGTATCGACTGGCCTGGTTGGGTGGTTGCTTGCTCGCTTGATGCCTGCCTGCCTGCTTGCTTGCGTGCGGGTGTGCTTGCTTGCTTGCTTGCTTGCTTGCTTGCTTGCTTGCTTGCCTGCCTGCCTGCCTGCCTGCCTGCCTGCCTGCCTGCCTGCCTGCCTGCCTGCCTGCCTGCCTGCTTGCTTGCCTGCTTGCTTGCTTGCTTGCTTGCTTGCTTGCTTGCTTTTTGGTTTCAAAACTTGTTCTTCAGCTTGCTAATGCCGGTTGCAGACTTTGTTGGCAGGTGATTGCATGTGTTGAGTGACGGGGTGCATGTTATGCTTGGATGTGCCTGCCGAAACGTGATGCATTTGGCTTTTTCTGTGTGTTAGTGTGCTCAAGTGTCTGACATCGCCCAGTACATCTTGCAGTTGTTGCTCGCTAGAATGCATGGTACTCAGGGGTCTCACTCGTAATTCCCATTCTTGCTATGACAAGCACGTGTTTGCTTTGATTTGACCCTGTGTTGCTTAATTGAATCTGGCTTGGTTCCGTTCAGTCGCTGGAGAAACGCTCTTCATCCATCACTTCTCTCCATGCCTGGCTGTAGCCCAGCAACGCGCCAAGCTTTTGTCGGGTGCAAGAATCCGGGATAGTACTTTTGTGCCAACATGGCTTCCCCAAAAAACAGAAACCAAAGAGCACTTGAAACCGTTGGCTTCCATTCGTGCTCTTTGATTTCCTTTTCCATTTGGGTGGCCAAATGTCTGTAAGAAACTGCCGAGGTATGGATCTATTTGGGTGTCCTCGGGCTTCAAGGCCTATGTGCCTCTGGCGCACATCTCCACGGCCGCCGCCATATGGCTGGCTCCCTGGCAAAGGCAAGGCTTGAGCGCGGGGGATTTTTCGCAGGACCTGGAAAATGCTCACGTTTGTGCTGCTTGGAAACGATAGCAGTGGCAAATATGACTTATATGTATATATATATATAGGTTGTTTTTTTTATTTTTATTTTTTATGTATAAATATGCATGCGCACGCCTGTGTACATGTGAATGCACGCACACACAAACACATGTGTATGCACACATTATATTACATTGCATTACATTGCACTACATCAAATTACATCGCAGTGCTTTCCAGTACATTGCATTGCATGACATTTACATTTACATGTGCGTCGCATTACATTGCATTACTTATATATATATGTATATATACACATATACACATATATCTATGTATACTGATATGCGGAAGTGGATCTTATGTCCAGGACTGGCAAACATGGGCGTTTTGCCAGGCAAGCACATCCAGGCCAAAGCGGATGACATAAGCCAGCAGGTCGCTTCTTTTGGAGCGGGAATTGTGTGTGTGAGAGTGATATGCTATTGGGCTGCTTCTGCGCAACCTCCCGCGTTGCAAGAGTAAAGCCGAGGTGTGGCCGCGCTTGCTGCAGCCCATCATTCTTGCTGACGTGGTGATCCTGCTTTTGCTCTCCTTGGCGAGCGCCGTGTTGCGTTTCGGCCTGTTAGCCACAGTCATATATGAGGTTTGGTCAATATCATATATCCAGTCTACAGTGATTTAAGAAAAAACATTGTAGGACTTCCTACAAAGTGCAGGGGTTTACCAATTTTCCCTTTACGTTTGCAGTTGCCCAGCTTGTCGCGAGGCGCCTGGTAGTTTCGCCTTTTTTTTTTTTTGCGAGAACTTGACATGCAAAGGCACCTCAACGGGGAGGGTCTGGGGAGGGGATTCGGGGGGGAAGGCAAGAACGTGGCTTCCAGCACACCAGCTTACAGAATACAGGCTACAGAATATCCGGCGTTACAAAATATGGAACGCGGAGGAAATTGTGTTGCGTAAAAAGGAAGACATAACTCGTGTTGTTGCAGATTGTGTAACATGGTCATTTATCGCAATGCCTAACATAGTTGATGCGGCATGGCTGCTTGCTGTCATTGTGCTGCGGCCAGATTTGGCACTGGCTGGCGTTGGAAGAAAGACGCTTGCAAGTTAGACGCAGTTCTTGGTGCTTCAGTGTGCTTGAGAAGAGAAGTGCTGTCCGACAGCTTTTTTGAAAGGCGCAGTCGAAGTAGACGCGACTTCGCGAGGACGATGTTGGGTCAAGCTGCAATATCCGCGGACTTGATTCGCTTGATTTATCAGCTGGGGACAAGCAGGTGTTTCGCATACAGCGTATCCCCGTCGCATCGGTTTTACTTGGCATGCGGCAAAAAAGGGATGGGCCTTGCGTAGCGCGTCCAGCTGCATTTCTGAGAGTTTGTGTGCATGGCCAAGTAGTTGTTCACATTGCCAAGTCTAGAGGTCACACATTTCTTGTTGCCTAGTGCAGCCGGAGGATTGGTGCTGGAGGTCACATGTACTGACAACAGGTCTTGTGAATGACACAACAAACAGCTTATGTGCCGTGGCGCAATAATGCACATATTTGCACAATCAGTCGCATGTATATATACATACACATACAAACACATATATTTATGCACGCACTTGTATACTTATTGTAAACGCTTTGCACAGCCCGCCTTAGCCAGTATCAGCCGGATTCTTTTGGTTGGTTTTGAAGTGCTGGAAAAGACAAATTTATGATAGGGGAACCTTTCTGAGCAGGGGAAGGGATGAAACCAAGGAACGACGCAAGCTAGAGAAAATGATTCCGGGGCTGGACCAAGCAGTCTGGCAGGGCAGGCTGAGGCAGCTGTGGGCGCAAGGGGTTGCGGCCTTCCTCAAGGGCAAGGGCCTGCAGCCAAGAGCAAGGCTATAGCCTCCAAGGGCGCTAGAGGGGTGCCTTGAGCACTGCAGACGCACCCCTGCGCAAGGGTCGCTGCTTGGCGCCCAGATTCGCCTGGGCCAGAGCAGGCAGCCGCAGCCCGAGCGTCTTGCAGTGATGGAACTTGAAGATCAGTTGGGCAAGATCCCGACGATCTAAAGAGGGATCTGACCGTTTCCCGGCCCTCCTGATCTCCTATGTTCGGCTGATGAACAACCATAATTTGCCCAGGTACGTAAGCACGCAACGACACACACCTATATTTGTACATGTATATATATATATATATATGTATACAGATATTTAACATGCGCAATCCTATACACACACAACGTATATGGTTTCTGCACAGCCATATAGACATCTTTTGTTTATGTTCACATGCCTGCACGATATATTTTACAATGAGGCTGTTTCTGACCAGGTGCACTCCACTGGACTTGGCTGAGGTACATCACTCTTCAGGATGCCAGCACGACGACACGGATCCCGAACTCGCATGTGGAGCTGCAGCTCGCTTGATCCTCCAAGTTCTGAGCGACAGGACCCTGCTCATCTACTTCACCCTCGCATCACGTGCTGTGAAGACACTGGGAGTTTGCGTTTCTTGAAGATGTCTGTTGTGTCGCGCGTGACATCCTTGGCAGCCTTGGGCGTAATTCTCACATAGTCGGGGCCAGCTTCGAGATCTCATGGGGCAGCGGGCGCGATTGAGTCGCCAGGACTTCCAAGACGTGCCGTCAGCCGGAGACGCGGCTTGAGTCCGGCGAGGGACCTGCTGATGAAGATCAAAATCGACGGAAGGGACTTCCAAAGAACATGGACCTGGAACTCGGTGCTCAGCTGATGAACATGCTGCCATGTACCGGTAGAAGACGATGCATTGAGAGGCTGAAATCTTGCCGAGCAGTTTTGTCTGAGAGGCAACATGCCGGTCCTATTTGTTAGAGGCTCGCTAAGTACCCTGGCGCCACTTGCACCCTACTGGTTGAGCGTACCACATGTGCCTTCGATTGCTCGAAGCCGAAAGAAAAGCGCTGCCCCCAACAGATGGCCGTAAAAACAATGGCATGTGAATCCGCTGGGGTCGGGACCCCGAAATGGGTCGAATGCTGTGATTCTGAAGCTTCTAGCAATGGCAGTAGCTGACTTGACCACTCCTTGAAAGCTTTGTGAATTAGGAAACCACAAAACACAATTTCGGCAAACAAAAGGGTCACGCAGACCCGCAGGACCTCGTCTTGTTGGCATGTGGGTGTGGTGCTTGCATGGCAAAAGGGGGGTGATGCTGAACCCAGCTCCGAGGCGCTCTCGGCCTTTGTGTTTGACCCATCACGTCGCACGTGTGTCCTACAAATGCCCTTATTGAGTACCCACTTAAAAAAACTTTTTAAGGGGAAATCCAAAAGGAAACCGTTGCCATTTCATGGATGCCTTCCTTGGCTTCCCTTTTTTAGGCATCGGACACCAAAGGCACACCACAATTTTGGTCTGGTTCCCGTATTTGGAGACAAACCCACATAAAGTTCGGCAAACATATCCTCATTTTCACAATTTGAGGGGCTCAATTATCCACAATCCTGGGGGGCTAACCTGAAGTTTCCCACTTCGATTTGGGGAATCGTGTATTTTGGCAGCGGGCAAATCACCGGGAGGATATCGGTCTTGGAAGTCATGCTGGTCCTATCAGTTTTGTAGGTTCATGGGCATCGGTTTTGGGTACGGCGCCGGGGCACGGAAGCCGCGCGCCCGCGCGACGGGGGCGACGGGGGCGACGGCCGGCGACGGCCGCTCAAGGAGCTGCGGAAGACGGAGCTGGGGGGCGTCTTCGGGGAGGTGGCCGGGAAGCCCCAGATGGCTCGTTGTCGCGCGGCTCCTTCCGCGCGCAAAGCAGAGAACGGTTGGGCGGGCGGGGTTGCAGCGGGGGTTGGGTTCCTAGGAACCTCGAAACTTTTTATGTATCGGTGGGATTGGTGCAAGCTGCTGGGTGTCCCTTTGCAGTTGTTGGTTTTAACTGTCCAAATGTTGGGAAGTAGTGATTGTTGGAATTACCAGGGGAACAGGAGTCAAAACGGGAGCGTCAAAGTGAACAGAGAACACTTGCTGGGCGCTCAAAGCTAGCTATTTCTGGGGCTGCTGTGCTTTGAACACAATTTCAATGCGTCATATGAGAGTGTCTCTGTCATCAGATCCAGCTGCAGGGGAATGTTTTTTTCTTGCCTTGGTAGCAGGCAGAGCAAAGACAGTTGCCCGAGTGTCAATGGAATCAGCGAGTAGTGACACTTGCTCGTCTTCTCGTGTTTGCGCAACTGGGGCTTCGATGTTGTGTTTGATCTGCCAGAGACCTCGCAATCGGTTGGGTTGTTGCTGTCAAGCGCTATGTTTCCATGGTTTGGACAATTGGAGCCTTCAGCTCACAAGAAGGTTCCAAGAAGCCAACGGTGCCCACGAGGCGGAGCATGAATCGGATGTGGCATGGGTCTGAACTTTGGTGCTGAGTGGACCCGTGTCGCCACACCAATGGTGTCCATGAGTGTGACAACTGCCTGTCTGCTGTAGTGGACCAAGTATGAGTCTTACATGGAGTCATTCCCAATTTGTGGTTAGGAGTTGTCTTGAGGTTGTTGGCGTTGTTGTTTGCTGTGCATCTAAGGCTGTCTTTCATGCAAGGGAAATGAATGTCATAGATATAAGTGTGACCATAAGTTGTGGTTGAGCACAGTTTTGCTACGCAGAGTTCACGGGACCTACGAATACATCCCGGAGCCAACATGGCGTCACATCACAATTTCACGAGAGCCATTAACTCGAGTTCTTTGGGGAGAGAAGCTTCATTTGTTTGGGGGTGTGGGTGTTTGTCAGCTTGTTGTCGCTTGAGTTCAATGTGGATGATGCAGGTGATGCAGGGTCCCGCATGCCGTCATCCGCAACATCCCCGGCATCACCTGTAATACCAGCATCACCTCTGCATCCTTGCAATTTGTTTTGGGTTGTCGGACACCATCCCTCTCTTGCATGCCCGCTCCCCCTCCCTCCCAAAACACGGTTGTTGGGCGCCCTTGCATGCCTGTGTACCTTTGCCTCCCTAAAACGCGGCTTTTGAGCCCCTCCCTCCCTCTTTGCCTTGTCCATATTTCGTTCCCTCCCTACGCAGCTTGGGACCCCGCCTCCCTCTCCAAGCCCCTGTTTTTGGGCGCGCCTGCTCGTAGGTTGATTGTGGTCATGCAAAGGCGATGGATTGGCGTTTGGCAAGGTCCACATTGAACTGGCTCGAGTTTGGTTCTCTCAAGTATCTGCCTACCTTCTAAGTGGTGGCTTACCATGGGTTCCAGCTGCACCAAAAGGACAGCCGTGTGTGCGTGTGAACAGATCCCATTTCTCAGAACCCATTCGACGGGTTGCCCCCAACATATTCCCTTTGAAAGAGGCAACATGCCTTCCGGAAGATCGAGCGAGAACTGAGGACCAACTCCTGTGCGCCCTGGTCTCTGCCGTCGATGGCCTGCGCGCCCAGTTGCGATTTGTGAAGGCTGGAGAGGAGTGCTCAAAACTATATTTCAGGTTCACCGGAATGGTTTGAATTGGCGCCAAGCGGCGATTTGAGCCCCCGACTCTTGAGGGTAATGGGAAGTTCCCTCTCCTCCAAACCACCCAAGCTGAATACCAAGCTTGGTCTCCAAAGTGAAGGATGCCTTTGGGATCCTTGTTGCGAAAAGCAGCCTGTGTGGAATGGGCTACGTTCTGAAGATGCCATTTGTATGTGTTGTAACATTTGAGCAGCGGTTTTTAATCAAATGAAAGGGTTTATACAACGAGGGAACTGCATGTACTTTGCGGAGGCAATCCTGGTTGGGGGCGTAGGCTCGCGTAGGCTTCAGCGCCTAGGCTGTTGTGTCACCCCTCGCGTAGGCTTTTTGCGTAGGTGTTTGTTGAACAAGTCATGACTCTGTTTGCCAAGGGTAAAGGAATTTGCTTCTTGTCCCTTCCTTCTGTTTGTTCTGCAGTCTTCGCGTAGGCTCCGCGTAGGCCCGGCGTAGGCATTCGCGTCGGCTTTCAAGGCATTTTGGGTACGTAGACCTTTTCTAGCAGCCAGATCCTTGGACAGATGTGGGATTCTCACTTGTAGCACTCAGATGTGGGATTCTCACTTGTACTGCACTTCTGATCTTAGAGCCGGAGCTGCCAACACTCCTCTTGCACTGAAAAGTTGCGATTTTCCAGCTGGAGCTGCCACAGGGCACTTCGACACTTGAACTCAACATTTGCCCGCGTAGGCATCCGCGTGGGCACCTGGAAGCTGACTTGCGCTCGCGTAGGCACCCCTGGCAGGCCGCGTAGGTTTGCGTAGGCCTTCGCGTAGGCATGCAAGCAGTGTATAGGCCTGGAACCACCAAAAACCACTGCTCATTTGTCTATAGTGTATACAACATGGAACAAGCGAAGGCTACGAGACCGAAACAGCGGCTGGCGATGCATTCGCGTCCGTTCTGGTTGTTCCCTTTCTAGTAATTAAGGCCAGCATGCTCTGAAAAGAGTGAGAACACACTGATAGGTGCAAGTGCCAACCTGACACGGGTTCAGGCACCAGTGAGAACACGAGAGAATGACGCGCAGCTGCTTTGAATTGCCCGCCCCAGGCTTGCGGGAGAGCGCACAAAGCATCCGCAAGAGTGAGCTGCGCGTGGGCCTCGGGTGTTTCAGGGCCGGGTGGCCATGCGCGGGGCAAAGCACAGCACTGCAGCCAACTCGTTTGGTAAATTATGTGCGTTGCAAGAAGAGCCTCTGTCTAAGGCTTTCCGCAAACAACCGTGATTCTGAAGTCGTTTGAGGGTTGTTCAAATGTAAATTTCTGCTCTGGACTCTTTATTGATCTGTGACCCCGTCAAAAGGGAAACTAAAAGGTACTGGGATCCAAACCCTTTCCTTTTTGCTTTAAACTCAACTCGTCATCAGCTCCTTGTCGAAAATCCACTTGCAGTCGCCTCTAAAGGAAACAGAGCTTGCAGGTCGTATGTCTCCTCAGAACTCAGCTTTCTTCATAGTCGCAACTCTTTCGATAATTCAGACAACCAGGTTCAAGATTTCTGTGAAGGGCACCAAGAGAAGGGGTTCTTAAGCTGCTTAAGGCGACGCCTGCGGCGATGGTTTTCGTTTCCAGGTCGGCAGGTCCACGAGATTGATCGGCAGGCCCAGGACCGGATGGCCGGATGGCTGGATGGCCTTCGGGTTCCGGGTTGGGAGTCGCTGCAAAAGAACCGAGTGGGGGGCCCAGCTGTTTCGACCCGGAACCTGCTTTTCGGGCCGCAAGAAAAGGGTTTGAAGAGTGATCGAACATAGCGTTGGGGTTGCCAAAGCAGGGTCCACGGCCAGCGTTCTCATTGTGGCGATACCCGCAGGACTGGGTTGGCAAGGTTGAGAAGGATGCTGCGCTGTGCTCAGTTTCATGCTCTCGGGTTAGGCTCTGCACCCCTGTAGGCTCTGCTCAGGTTCGCAGCGGAAAGGGTGATTTGCATATGCAACGTCCTTAGGGGCAAATGGATCTTTCCAACAGCAGAACCCTCGTCCTTAGCCCTTAGCCCTGAATTCAACAAGTTAAGCGTATCTCAGGCGGGAAGGTGGTCGCATCATCATAGAGGTATCCCAGTATCCCATCCGTTGTTGTTCAAGTAATTCTGATTTGCTGGAGTTCGTCCATTCAGCAAGCCGCGCTTTTGGGAAATTGTGAAATTTCGGGTCGACTACTATATTTCTCCCAAACAGTGCCAGCAGTCACTTGGAGCCTCTTTAGGGGGGGGTTGGGTAAGACTTGGACTTCCCAATACTTTAATTTGGTATTGCCAAGACGTCAGGTTCCCTGTACTTAATTTAGTCTTGCCAGATCTAAGTTTGGATTCGCCAAAGCTTACTCTCGATTCCCTGTACTTCATTTGGATTTGCCAATTCTAGATTCTCTCAGAAACCCAGATCGCAGATAGACGACCTCTTAAAGGGGAAAGCTAAGGCTTCGATCTTCGCATGTCACACCCAGCCAAGCAAACGTGTGATATTACAGCGGACCCCAAAGCAGACAGATAAAAGAGGATCTGTCTTGGTGTTGCTGTTTGGCCTTGGTTTGTTTCATCAGAGATTTGTTGAAACATCGATGGGCACTACCTCAACAGGAATTCCTAAATATTTTGTCCCGAAAACCGGTGCTTTTGTGCCGCCCCGTTGCTATACCCCGTTCAGGTGGCTGGTTGGATGGTGGGTTGGATGGTTGGTTGGCTCCTGGGCATCACTGGCCTTGCTCAAACCTAGGGCTGCCTATTGCTTTGTTTTGGTGGCAGATGAGAGTTGCTCGGGGCTGGTTTGGGGTGAGTTTTGGGCCTGCTGAGATCTTAATGGGGGCAGGTCTTGGGCTTGTTTGGGTTCATGTAGGCTTGGCAAAACAACTAGCCCAAATCTCCCGCCACATCCTTAAAGCAGCCCTAAAGCCGCTGCTAAAACCAGCCGCACACCTATCGTAAAATAGCCCCAATCCAAACCGACCCAAAGTCAACCAGCCCTTTGCACCCCAAACAAACCCAAGACCTGCCCTCATTAGGATCTCAGCAAGCCCAAGCAAGAAGCCGGGGCTAGTAAGACAAGCACCTCAACCGAAGCAAACCTCGGAACAGTCACAGGAGTCTGAATCAAGAACATCACTTTCTATAAAAGCGACCCCAAATAAAACAGCGGGTCTCGCATTGTGCTTATTCGACTAAAGCCGCCAAAGCTGTGCCACTCCAAATAGCGTTTGTGTTTATATGCAATCTAGCGGGGTCAACAAGGTGGGCAGAGAGCATGTTTTGGTTTGGATCAACTTGAGCCATGTGCCACCTATGCTGTGCCAAGCTGGAACGCATCGCAGGATTCATTCTGTCAATTGATGCGCCTTCTTCGGGTAGGCAAAAGCACACAGGTCACGTAGTGCTGGCAACCATGGATTCTATGAACATGTCCAGGATGCTGCTGTGGGTACCCAGCAAACTCTCATCAACGTGGGGGTTTCGTCAGGACTTCCACTTTAGGCTACATACAGCTACGAGGATGATGTCTGCAGATTCCAAGCGATCATTGGGATGGCTAGAGGGCCAGATGTGTGCCAATGGATGGCTTCGTACTGACATTGCATTGGGCCGGTCAGGCCTGTTCTACAGTAGTTGTTCTACTGATACGAATAATGTGTGCCGTGAAGTTACGAAGAAACGCCAGAGAGAGACGAAGGCTTACAGAAATAGCACCGGCTAGAAATGCCTTTTGCACGACGTGCGCATGCTAGCACAAGCGTGTCAATGGCTCAGCCTGATAACTTGGTTGGTCAGTTCTGCCTTAGTTGTTTTTCAATCAAAGCTGCGCACGAAACCTGGTAATGTCATGATAAAGGTGGGGATTTGTAAACATGTGTCAAACATTTGTTGCCCGGTCAATTGACAAGGATTTGCCATCGCCCAAAGCGGGGCCTCCACTGCATGACCGTGTGGTTGGTTGCTCGGTTCTTTTGAGGGTTCTCATTAACTTGCCTGATTCGAATGCTTCACCTCGTTCCCACTGGAAAAGGCTAACTTGCGAGCTTTTGGAGGTTGAGAGCCTCACCGGCTACCGCGACGGAGCCCATGGTCCCAGTGGGACGCAAAGGTTTGAGCTCAGACGTGGATCATATGGCGACGCTGCCCGGAATCACGACCTCACCGGTTGGTTGGGAAAGTATCTTCGAGGTTGGATCTTTGAAACGTGTATGATTGATCTTGGCTCCTTTGTTCGCAGAGGGGCAATTGCTCCTTTCCAGCTGTCAGAGGAGTAAAGCCGCACTCATCCCCCTTGTCTCACAGTTTCCAGTTCGGAGAAGGTCTATTGAGGACCCGAAAGGACAAGGCTCGCAGCAGGGAAGCTTGAAGCGCAGACTTCTGACAGGGAGAAAGTATCTTTTGAGAATGCAGGGCTTCTGGACTTCTGCCAGCACCTTCCAATGTGAAACATTTGACCTAGAGTCCTTGAAGGTTGCAATCTGTGCTTGGCTCCTTGTTTTGCTGCAATCTCACTGCAGATGGACACGATGATGGAGGCACGCGGTTTGCAAGGAGGGCCGGGTGTCAATTGTTGAGTCTTTGGGCATGCTGGCACATCAGAAGCAGGCAAGCTTGAACCTTGCATCGTGTCATGGCGTGCAAACTCACAAAGGCCCGTCTTTAATTCGGCCGAGGAAGCCGTCCACGTTGCGGGTTGGTTTGAAGGTGCAACAGCGAATCATGGTGCAGGTCCGCAGCACATTCAGTGGGAAGCTGCCTGGTTTGGCTGGGCTGACCGTGGCAGGTGCACGTGGTTGGGCTCAGCCATCACAGTGCCCCAGTGGAGGTGCTCTGACGGTAGGGAGGAAGGCTGAGGCCTCTGGCAAAAAGCGAAGACATGAGACAACGTACATGGGGAGTTTGCCTTTTCCAGCATGTTGCGGCTAACAGCGGATTGTGTGGGTTGTGTTTCCCGGGGCGTGCTCAAGGGGCCCAACTCAATCATCAGGCATGACACCTGCCATTATTTGAGAACTTTCACAACAACGTCATGTCACGTTCAAGGAACACCCACGACCAAATCAGAAAACCACTCGTCTCTCAAGAAAGTCCACCCAGCTTGAGTGAATGCCAGCACACTCTTTCTTTGACTGATGGCCGACGGGCAATTCAATTCGTTTCGGATTTCGGTCATGGCGTGTGGCAATTGCATTGAAACTTTGAGGTCTGCCTTGCCAACCGGCGATATGATCCTTCCTAATGTTCAGCATGCTGTCCGTACCATTAAATGGGGCATAGTTGCCCTTGAGGCACCTTTGTTCGCCCCGACGCCGCATTCAACCCAGAGTCAACAGTTCAAACCCTGGGCCGCGGCAAACAACATGTCCCGCTGAACTGGGACGGATCACGAAAGGACCATCTTTGCTTCAAGACCTTAGTTGCCCCTCTTGCAAGCTTTGAGGAAGCCAAAGGGAGCCAGCGATTGTGGCGGGGATTTTTTTGGGGACATCAGGATATGTTGCTAGCCTCGGATTGCTAAAACATGCAGATGTGTAAATGAGCGGAGCAGTTTCGTCCCTTCGCAACGGTGAGCAAAAATCCTTGAACATGGGCAGTTTCTTGATCTCTAAAGTGGGGCACTCTCTGGTTGCCAAGAGTCTCTGGTTGGTGAAGGGGTCATCCACCAACCAGAAAGTAGACGGCACAGTTCCGCCTTTTTCCGGTGAGTCATGTCCTCTACTTCCGCATCTGGGAGTTGTGCCGTCTACGAACTCGCCGGTGAAGTCAGCGGATTGATCGATGAGAGGTGCGCGAGAAGCTCGCGGTGGCCCAAGCAGAGTGGAATGCCTATGCTCAGGCGCCATGGATTGCTTCGCTTTCACGCAGGGGTCGTATGGTCAGCTTGGGGGTGGGGGGGTTTGGGTGGGGCTTGAGTACTTCCGAATGGTCGTTAACCCATGGAGTCCAAAGCTATTGTCAAGGTAAGTCAGTTTTGACCATGGCACACTTGGAGATGTATGATAGGATGGGCGACAAGGATGTTGCAGGAGACTTGTCCATGTGAATGGGAGGCCAACTGATGGGAGGCTGTTCGAGGGCTTGGTGTGCGATTACCGTGACCAGCTGACCTGGAGTCCGTGTATTCATGCAATTCGTGCGCATATGTGGCTCAAAGCCCGTGTGTGGCAGACCACTCGCACACGACCCGATACCGAACTTCCGCGGATCAAGAACGTTGCTCGGCCAGCAGAAAGAGAAAACAACAATGATCTCGGCGTCATCAATTGCGATACTCCCATGTACCAACTGTTTTGCTTGGCAGGATGTGTGTGTGTGTGTAGATCTTGTTGCACTACTCCCCTGCCAAAACACAAGAAGATGAGGTTTCCCTCGATGTGCCAAGGAGAAAGAACCAGCATGCTGCTTTTCGCAGTGATGCTTGTAGCTGCCGGGCGCTTAATCTAGGTTGCTTGCACTCGAGAGAGTCTGGACCATCCCTTTGGCAAGGAACATTGGGCATATCAGCCACGGCAGGCAAAGATTGCAGGTTGCAGAAAGGCGGACAGCTTGAATCCTTAGCCGTTGCTCCTTTGTGGCTTTCGTGACGTTGGGATGTGGAATAGGTGAACCCCCCCGCCCGGCAGTGGAGGTGTTCCCTTTGGCGTTCGTTAAGCCCAGGTGACCAGCGAAAGCGACAGACCCCCGCCATGGATGTTGCGCCAAGGCGGCGGCGGTGCCGACCTTCCACATCGACCTGGAGGTGCCTCCCCAGCGGCGCTGGGCGAAGGTCACCGACCACTACCGGGAGGACGGGGGACGGGCAGAGGCCATGCAGCGCCATGATTTGGGTGTGGGTCAAAATTAAACCACCAGGATATGGACCACAGGTTTTGGTCCATGTTGCCACTTACCAGGGTTCCATTTTGGGTACCTATTTTTGACCCACAGCCATTTGAATGTGCGTGATTGTGCCAATTGTGTCTGTGGATTTATGGTTAGCTTTTTTTTAATCAAGCGTTGGGTCGCCGGCAGTCAGCCGGGCATCGTTTCTCCATGGATATAGACCCATCGGACTTGAGTGACCTTGTGCCGGACGAGAGGACGGGTTTTCCAATAATTGGAGCCTCGCTGCAAGAACCTGTCGACCAAGAAGCCATCCAGAATGCTGAGATCCAGATGCAGATGATGCTGGTCAGGGACTTCCTTGTTCGCCTTGAAGTCACAAGGCCGGAGGTAATACGAGTCACACAGGCCCGCCACGCGCTTTGGCGGTTTGGACGAGTTCTTCGCGAAGGGCACAGTGGACCAAACTGCTATCATCAGAGCGAAGTGCGGTCCAACATTGCTCAGTTTTGGTCGCACTCTTGGCAGGGCAGTGCTTTGCCCAAGATTCTGCTGCTGCTTGCGATATACAATGGGATCCCAGCCGTTCTGGTTGGCTCGGCGGCTTTTGTGACCACGCGGATCTGTACAGAGCCGGAGCTTGGACCATTCCCTGCGAAGAACCCTTTGGCTTGGAGTATGCTGGCGGGTGTCACTTTCTCCAGTCTCACTTTCCTGCTGTGGCAGTCTCGCAGACGTGTTTTTCTGGATAGGATATGCATCCACCAGACGAACGAGAGGTTGAAGCTTGAAGGCACCATGAACTTAGCAGCGCTGTTGAAGCATTCGCGGTCTTTGCTGGTGTGTTGGGATCCAAGCTATATGCTGCGCATGTGGTGTACAGTAGAGCTAGCCGTCTTCCTGAAATGTCACGCACCAGCTTCGCCGATCATCAGGCCTGTCAGCTGGGGAGGATGCGCAATTGCTGGCTTTCTTTCCTTAGCAATGCTGCTTGCGGGCTCAGACTTCCTGACTTCGCTTCTGACCGAGAACTTATTGGGGCGAGCAGACCTGGCATGGGTCTCACTTGTGACTTCCTCCATCTACGCTGCTTCTGGATTTATGTTCATGTATTTTTGCAGCGTCGCGGCTCGAGCCCATTTCCGGGCTGCCAGTGCTGTCCAGGATCAGCTGAGAACCTTCTCCTTCTACAACGACACTACTTGCCATTGTTGCAGCGTAAATCACGTGCACCGAAAAACTGGGAAGAGACTTCCTTGCGACCGTGAGGCCCTTGCCCAATGCCTTGGTCATTGGTTTGGCTCCGTCAGTGCTTTCGACGGTGTCGTTCAGCAAGAAGTCTCCACCTCATTCGAGCGTGGAGTCATACAGTGCCTCTTGCCATATTCTTGGCTGGTTGGAGCTACGTGTCCCATGATGTGGTTTGGGATTCACAGTGGATTTTTCTATTACTTTGACTCTGCAGACGCATGGTTGGCCTTTTCCAATGCCGTCTACTGCTTTGGCTGGTGGCTAGGGACCATCCCAGTCATCGTAGCATTGTGGCTGCGCATCCCACGCCGTTGTCAGAGGCGCCGTTCCACAAGATGTCAGGAGGTGACGCTCAACATTGCTTGCTCCTTCGTGATTGGCTTCATGGTTTTAGTGGTTCGCGTATATGAGACCGCGATTGTGCGGTCTGTGCCACCCTATGGCATCATCACGTGCGCATTAATTTCTTTGCTCGCTGTCGCCCTTCTTTTGAGTGATTGTGGCAGAGTTTGTATGGCTCCTTCTTGAACGATCTCCCACGCAAGTGTTCAAGAAGCCACGGATGCCGTTGCAACGCATCCCTAAGCCCTGAGAATGTTTTGCTATATAAGCGGAGTTTCTCAACAACTCAGCTTGAATTCAAACATGCTAAGGGTTCCTAAGGGTCCCATTTTCAAGAAGCTCCTATATTTGTTCACAGCTGCGACATGCTAAGCAGATCTGCAGCCTGGAGCATAGCTGAACTTCGTGGAGCATAGCCGCTCCCACACTAAACCCTAGAATATTTTGAAGCCCGGCTCTTAGCAAAGCTATGAGGAGCCTGAAGTACTGCAACTGAATGTGTTTGGAGCGAAAGGTGTTCCGGCTTGCAATCGCTACCGAGAAAAAACGATTGGCCTGAAGGATCGAAGCCTTGGGAAGAGCGGCCTGGTGTACCGTCCTTCTGTCCTTCTGTCCTTCCGGGCCTGCGTTCATTGTGAATCCATGAATCCACGCCCGTAAGTTGTCGCACGCAAGCAGCACAGGCATACAGCACTGGAGTCGAAACCATGCTCTGCATGAGTCCGTCAAGTCACACCTATGCTTGGTTTGATAGCGTGAGCTCCATGTGTAGGATCTCTCATTGCGTAATCCATAGGAGACATGAATATCCATGGCCAAGCCTTTCTAGTTCAACTCAAGGTGACTGCTGGCCAGAGGGCCCTGCGAAGCTAGCCCACGCAGCTTCCTAAGACCTGATCAATTCTGTTGGGTTGAAATCAAGATGCTGCATAGGTCTCTCATTGATACAGCTAGCTTGGGAATTATACATATGTCGAACGTGTGGTTCATCCAAGTATGTGGTGATTTCCTAGTTAGCGGTATCGTTGAGAGACAATTCCGCAAAAGATTGAAGGAACAGAGCGCAGCAAGAGGAGATGCTCCAACAGTCACCTATTAAAATGCCCTGAGATGCAGGTCTCCAAGACAGTTCTCTGGTCAAGAATAGGAGGGGTCAACAAGGGGATGTTTCATAAAGAAGAGCCCTTCAAACGATGAGAGCAAGAAGTCTTTTTTTTAGGAGAAAGTCGCACTGTGGCATGCGGTGGCTACGAAGGTTTTTCAGCAATTTGCACGAAAGCAAGCGCAGCTGCAGCTTCACTTCGACGCGAAGACGTGCAAACACAGTTTCGAGCTGCAGCTCAAACTGTTTCCAAGCCTTTCCTGCTCCTGAAAAATATGGGCATGGGTCATAACCTATGCCTCCATGTTGCCATTCTAGTCTATTTTAGTGGGGATTGGGATGTTCACTGGGGGTACGATTTGGATTTTGACCCAGGGCCATATGGTCCACTTTTGACTCTGTACTCAATGGGCAAGGAAGGGCTTTGGGCACGGAGAACACGGCTCGAACTACTTCAAACACTAGTTGCATTCGAAGCTCCAACAGCTTCCTTCTAACCACCGTAAGCAAACCTCATACATGCCGTGGCTGAAAATTAAAGCTGCTCGTGTGGGTCTTGCTCGTGGCCTTGGCTCCAGGTGAACCAGAGCTCCAGCCAAGGCACTTCTTTTTGGAGCTTGTTCAGAGTTGTGGCCAGCCGCAAAAGCTTCTCTCCGGGGCTGAAGTGTTCGAGGAGATGCACAGCATGCTGTCCAAGTACCGGGAGATCATGCAGACAAAGTACTCTGCACAGGAGCTGGCCCAGTGGGCCGGGCTCCCGGGCTGCGATCGCTTGAGAAAGTTGCGCATGCGGCGCCCCTGCAAAACGTAGTCATAGTCATCGTAGTCAGAGCGACTTGAGCCGCAGCTGCTTCCAAGGTCAGTTTGATCAAGGCCAACAAGGCCGACCACGAGCAAGAGTATCATGAAGAACTGCAAGGCGAATCCGGCCACAAACGCAAACTACAGCTGAAATCTGATGCCTTGAGCCTGCCTGTCATGGTTAATTCATAGAATTTACGGACCTGAGGTTTCTGAGCGCTGTGAAAAGTCCTGCTTGACGGGCGTAACTGTGACATGCAGGGGGCACAATCAGCACTTGGAGGGATATTTCAATTTAGTCAAGATGAAAGCGAGCAGAGCTATGCAGCAGCAACGTCTCTGCCGCAGAAAAGAGAGCAAGAGACAGATATGTGTATATATATATATATATCTACATTTGATATATATATATATACATATATGTTTTTTGATGGTTGCCCTTTGATGCAAGCCCTTGACGCGTTGCTTTCATTCCGAATGATGTGGATGGAAAAGAGTCAAGAACCGCTCTAGGAATT